AAGTTTTCTTTCTTATTCAGCTTTCCTAAACAAAACAATTTCTTTGCTAAGACCACTCAACAGAGATTGCTGTTTTTCCCCAAAACACCATAATCACACGTATGGCTACGAGCTGTACCATTCCTGAACATCAGGTTATTTAACTGCTGTGGGTTTTGCCTCTTGCACAACTTTTGATGACTGTTTACTCAAGCAGTCAGCAACTTTCCCTTTCTCCTTTCCTATGCAATCATGGTACAGACCTGAGAAGTTAAAAGTTGCCTCAGTTGTGCTTAAAAGCAAAGGACAGTTTAGGAAAAGGACACTTCACAGATAGTTACAAACGGATCACAGGGAGAAAAAAAATAGTTTAAATGTTTTAGCTAAAAATCTCTTTATGAAGCTGAAGTGAAATATGGGGCAGTACCAACCCCACCTTCCCACTCCCCCAAAAGCTGGCACTCAAAGAAGCCAATTCTTTCAGATTATGAAACTCCCTTCTTAATATTCTTAGAGTGTTTACTGTAACTGAAGCTTGACAGCAAAAGGGCAGAGTTCAAGAAAAAATAACATTGGCTTCCATGCTCAGGAAACACAACACAGATTTACAGGAGCTTTGCTACTGTAAATGAATTACTATTAATTACTACTTCTTGCACACCAACCCTACTCCACTTCGGGGCAAGGATTTCTCTCAGTCTCCAGTCTCACAACTTTTTGGATAAAAGTGTGCTCTGCACTGTTTCAGCCACAAGGCACACCCAGCTCTCCTTGGAGAACAACAAAAAAGAAGGAAAAACAGGACAACCTAGGCCTTGAACTGAGCCCAGATTCTGATGCATCATTACTTTATTGACATGCCTGCACTGCTTTTACATTTTATTTGCACATCCACACCACTCTCCTCTTAGCTTTGGGACCACTGCTGGGACACACTCCTGCCTAAAGAAGACAGGCCTGTATGTGGACCACATACAGAGGAGTCCTTTCCTAGCTGTGCTGTTTGCTCACAGACATTAACCCAGGCATCCTGTAGCTGCAACTCAGACATCACACAGAGTACGTGACCAGATGTGTTATTAACCATTACAAAAAGCTCCAGGTCTTCCCACCCACACTTGGCTTGAAACGCTTGAGAAAAATAACTCCCTGCAATCATGGGCCAGGCAAGTGTTTGAAGCAAGTGCAAACAGGATAAGTCAGATGAGACTGTGCTCTGCTCTGCTCAAAAAAAACCCCAAAACCATATGCCATGAACACACACTTAGATTTAGTAATCCACCTTTGCAGCTATGGGCATTTAGAAAATGATTTCAGACTGACAGACCTGTATGCTGTCCCCAGCTGGACATAATGGAAAGCATCAATCTTCATCAGAAGACTCTGTGATAAGGGATAGATATTTACTGTTAGAGTTGATTAGATTTACACTGAAACCTTATTTAAGTTTCAAGTTCCACACAAATGACATTTAGAAAATAAAATGCAATATACACATTCCATATCTAAGTACTTTAAGCTGCACTCTCCAGCCACTTGTCACACACTTACTCATACTGTGACTTTTTATTGGCCTCTCTGGCAAAAGACTGTCTTTCTACGAGCTGAAATACCGCTGTCTGGTACACTCCAAAGTTTGTGGACAGGGATGCAGTTGAAAAATGGAGAGAACAATGTTTCTGTGACTCAAGACAGTCTCTTCTTATCTCCCTTACAAAAGCACACACATTCCAAAGGAGCTTTGTGCGCACAAGGGATCTATTTCTCGTCACATTTATCTTAAGCAGAACTAAGTGGGTAAGTTTTGGCTTAGCAGCTGGGCCCAGTCATTTTGTTTACACAAGAGCTCTCCCCTCCACCACTTCTCCCTCTCCCCAACAGACATTTAAGCAAAGGTGTTCAGGAGCAAACCAGGCTGGTAACATTTAGAGCTTTCTTTTCCTTTTTTTGTGTGAGACTCCCCTATTCATGAGCCCTCTTTTCTCCATCCATCATTCTGAAGCTGTAACACAAGTTCTCAGGCACACTAAACCCACATCGCTCTAAGTCAAATAAGGACACAGCATCAAACTATTTGTGCTGTTTCCACAGTGCAAGGTAATTGATTCCACAGAGCATTCACAACCTTCAGGCACCTTCTTTTATCATGATACCATATCAGTGCAGCTTGTTACACCATGGACAAACCTCCCACAACTTTGTGAGGAGTGCACACAAATATGCTGAAAGATTTACAGGCACTATCCAATTTTTCATGTGCTTTGCAAACTGATCCTGAGAAAAAAAGTTCTCACCTTCTACTTGCTAGAAGGGTGCTTTGCTTGGCTAGGCTAGTCACATCTCTGTTCCTCTGCTATAACAGCCAGAGATTTATAAATAGAGAAAGAAACTTCATTTTCTCACAGATCTACTCCTTACTTTGTCATGTCTGAGGCATGAGCAGTCTGCTGCCATGCTGTCACCTTAGTTAGGACAAAAGACACAGGAAAACTCCATATAGTTTTTTTTCTTCATTCTCTTTTTTTTTCCTCTGCTGGAGAATAGCACACACACTCCAGTCTGTACTGCCTGCTTCCCTGAATTTGATCCAAGCTCAACATAAAAAAAGCTACTTCGGTGAAGCAACTTTCTCTGCTGTGCTCCCACCTGACCGCCCAGTTGCAGCAGCCAACATTACATCACTGCGCATCAGGCTTTCAGGGAATCGGTCCAAAGGACTGGAAAGGGTTAAAGCTAATGCTTGCACTTTGCTTGCCCATTCTTCTAAGAAGCCTGCATCTCAAGTAGCCTGGATCTTTTTCCAGGCAGTCCTATTCCAGTTGGGGGGTGGGAAAGGTTTCCTAAAGCATTCTCCTGACAAGTCATTTCTATTATTAGAGTAAGACATAATGCCTCTACTCCTGGCAAGTACTTGTAGATGCAAGATTGAGGTTTGTTGCTTAAATTTCCTGAAAAACAGAAATGATCACACAAACAAGCAGAATTCTCTATTAATTAGCTTGTGGAATTAACTGACTTTTAAACTGGTAAGGCTGTTATACCAGAGGTCTTTACTAGAATGTCCCATTCTGCTAGAGGCTATGCAAACACAAAAGACATCTTTCCCTTGGAAGGTTTATAAGCAAGAACCCATGCAATGAAAAGCACTGCCACCCTGACTGTGTATTTCACTGGTGGTCAATGTTATTGTAAACAATGTCAGAAAGTATTTCCACTAAAAACTTAATGCAATGGAAGACAAAGCCCAGGAGACTGAACTTTGTACCACTTACCTTTTGTACATCATAGTGAAGTCCACGTATGGCAAACCCTGGAATGTAGTCATACTTCCCAAGCCCTTCTGGATACTGAGAAGACAGACAGTGACATCACTAGAGGCACAAGCATTGGGTTATCAACAAAATTATTTCACCTATTGAGCTGGTTTAGTCCTGCTAGCTCTCTCAGCCCGGCATAAGGAACAGGTGCACTTCATTTTAGTCCTTCAACAAAGAAGTGGGTGAATGGAGAAAGACATAAAGGATCAGGATCCTCAAAACTAGTTTCTCTTATGTAAGGGACACTACTGAAAACATAACAGATTCATTCAGGCAGCAAGGACACTTCTAGTAAGCTCCACTCAATGCATCTATTTGGCAAAGCAACAGCATTGCAGAGCCCTTCAAAAAAGAAAGACATGATGAGAAGGAAATGCACAGACGAGTCCCCTGTTGCAAACAGGGTGCCCATTACTGGACATGCTACACAGCATCACCCACACTGACTTGCACATGTCAAGTCCTGTACAGCTTCAGTGCTGTCCCACAGTTCATGTTTATCCACCACGTGTACCAGGAACCAGCAATTCTGTAGGCATTATTTCCATAGTTGGGTAAAATAGAACAGACATTTCTAGACTAAGGCTCCTGCTCTGTATTCATAAAACCTCAGGAATGTAGAGCATGGTAAATTATCTCAAAGGAAATTAATTCCACATACAGACAAAACTTTCTGCAACTGACGATTGTGAAACATGAAATTTATCTCAATAAAACAAGTAATTGACGCATGCAGGCAATGTGGCAAGTATGTCTGGGGTGCTGCAAAGACAGCAGTGAGCTTAATTGAGTGGAAATTCTTAGCACATCCTTACCTTGAATTGTTCTATTAGGATGTCTCTGGCAGTGTTGAAAATCATGGAGTGTAGTAAATTAGAATACTGTGCTAATGTGTAATCGTAATCAAAGCCATATATCTCAACATCCCCCAGGCTGATCTCGTTGTTAGCGTAGATAGCGGCCGGGTTGAGGAGATTGCAGACTCCTGGTGGAAGGAGATCTAAGAGAAGGGAAAGGGGAGAGGTTAGAGAAACTGAGAAGATCACTGAAATTTCAAATCTGTGTTCTGGACCTGATAGCAGCTGGCAGTACCGCACAGCAGCAGCAAAGGAGCACGGTGCTGCTGTCAAAGGCTGCTGCTGTTTCAACCCACTCAAATAATCCTCCCCGTGAAAAAACACACTGTGAAGCCTCTGGCTGCGTCTGGTGATGACTACCTTCACACACAGTAAGAATGAACTTTTGTGTTGGGAAGCCACAAAACAATGTCCTCGGGTCTCTGGCCTCCATGAAGCAATGCAGACCAGAGATTTTGAAGTATCAAATTTCTAGCTCACAGCAGCTGCGTTTTCAGCAGGCTCACCAGCATGGAAGGGAGCTGTAATATATCATTAGGAAAACATGTGCCCTCCCTTAAAACGCGAGCAAGACAAACAGGCTAAGTCTTCTCTTTGAGAAATCTAGATTTCTTTACATTAGAAATTTTGAGGTTTGCCTTTTGGCATTTTATGTTTCTCATAGAAGCAGCCAGACTTCACAGAGCAATCCTGCAGGTACAATTAGAGCTTTTAAAAAAAAAAATAATTAAAATATTAATTAGCAGGATAAAACAAGGTTTTGTACAAACACCAACAAAACGTAAAAAAACCCCAACACATTGAGCTCTGCTCTTGGAGCACGTAATACAGACAGCAACAAGTTATCTGCTTTCCTCTGATAAACAGCTGTGGAAACAGCTCAGTCCCGGTGTGTGGTTTGTCATTTCAAAACAGGGTTACTGTGCAAGATGTTTGTGAATACCACTTTGCTCCCCAAACCACTGGGAAAATGGGGGTTAAGTGACCTAGCAACTGAACTGTCTATATATCCTTTTTCAGAGCTAGTCTGGAGAGTGGAGAGCTTTAGCTGCACTACAATGGGAGAGACAGGAACAGACCCTCCCCAGGCTTCCCGCACCACCAGAGCTTCCATTGCAAGATGAGAAAGAGCAATAAAAATAGTAGTGCCCTGTAGTAGGTTGCCTAGTCACATCCACACTGGGGGACAGAGAGGGGAAGGAGACATTTCCTCCTCCCTCAAAGACAGATAATATTCTCTTCACATGATAGGAAAAGTGCAGACATTTTCCAGATCCTACACAGCATCAGTGTGTAGGATTTTTTTTTTCCCTTCCTACCTTAACTTTTGGCTTTTAGCAAGAACCCCTGTGCCGGTTCTTTAGTGCTTCCTTGCTATAAAACCAAGTTTCATCTGAATCTAGAACAAAAAAAATATTATTAGAAAGAGATATCAGCCATTCCCAATAAAGACTTTGGAATGATTACAGAATTCAGGTAAAAGTCCGAAGAACATTTGTGAGCACTAATCCAAAGAGGTGACCAAAGAAAGAGAGGATACAGATAAATTATAATATTTATTTTGCAGAGGAGAGACACATTAAAAAACACACCAACCTTCCCTCCTAGCTCACTTTCCTTTGGCCTTCCAATGGAATTCACCAGATCAACTACAGGGGAACTACTGGAAAAGAAAGCAGTATTTTAAGGCAGGAAGGCTGACTTACTGACTCCACAGCAAGAACAAGAGCCCTCTTTCAGTGACTCTGCTGGTGGCAAAGTTCCTGGAAGAGGCTGAAGAGAGTGGACGCAATCAGAGTGCTTTCCACTGGGATTTTAAGAGATGGGAAATGTAAATAGGATTCAGATGATCACAACTTTCATCCTCTCTTCATAAATGCTCTCTGCACCATAAACAAACAGAGCTCCGCTTCCTGTCCTCACCTCCAGATAACTTGTGGGAAGATCATTTTCCAAGCACACACTGGGATTTGCAGGGTGTTATGTTTCTGCCTCACAAGGAAAATAACAGCACCCTAATCACATCACAGTGCAAATATGCAGTTTCTCCTAATGAAAGCACTTTTTTTTAAGACAAATGCACCCCACTTGCTGCTACCGTATCCCCACAGAGAGTTCAAGCTCTTCCAACATTCACCGTTTGCTAACAGATTTACAACAACACATTCTGAAAGTCTGAGAGCAGAGCAAAACACCATTGCCTGAACTCCCATCTCTCACAGAATTCATGAGACACATCTAGATTAAATAACACGTGCCAGCCACAACTCTTGCAAAAATACAATCAGAAAAGCTAAGGGAGCAGTATGTTTTTGTAAAAGGGGAGTCTGAGATCCGCCAAGGGCATGAGGCGAGTCTTATCTGCGATCAGAAGCGTAAGCAGTAACTGTGCCACAGTATGAATTCTGCTGTATATTTAGACCCGCTGGATGAAGTCATACTCCACCCTGCCAGCCTCAAACATACAGATCCTCCTGCCCAGCTCATTTTACCCTACTCAGACTTTTTTTCACTAACTTACACAGCTTTTTCTCTCTTACCTCATAAGGGATGAAGAAAGATGGGCTAGCCAAAACGCTTTATCACCATTGCCTCACACATAACGTGTTCCCTATGTGCTTCCTGGAGCACTGCACATCTACTTGCTGTGTTTCCTATCACACATCATCGTCACCAAACCAAACTCGCAGCAGCTTGCTGACAGCTGCCTCTTCCCATGTCATCATCCTCCATCTTAAATTCACAGTAGTTTCAAAGTCACCGATCTCCTCAAGAGAAGGAAAAAGCTCTGAGTTTCAGTCCAGAGACTCAGGCTGCAGGTTTGGTTCAGTGTAAATGTAAATTTGCAGCATCCTCCTTAATAGAGTGTTTGGTGTCAGTCTCGTCTTTAAGCCCACACATAGTTTGAACCTCTCTGCAAGTTCAAACTACATCAGGGAAGAGACAGAAACGTGGAGCACATGCAAGATCAGCTTCAATACAAGAGCCCAAACACGCCCGGCTGACTGAGCAGGTTTAGGTTTTTGTTCTTCTTTGTTGTTTTGGTTTCCTTTTTTGTGGTTTGGGCTTTTTTTATTTGATTGTTTGGTTGGTTTTTGGGTTTTTTTTAAAGATAATCACCTGGGTGGTTACAAATTCGGAGTGCTTAATTAAGTCCTGGGCTGCAGACCTGGGCACAACTGCTCTGCTGACATTCAGCACGTAATCTGCCAGGGATCCTTTCCTCGGTTTGCACAGCAATTGTTATGTCAAAACATACAACACTTTCCAGAAGCCCATGAAGATGCCATTTTTCAAGAACCATAGCTTTTGCTTTTCCTCTGCCAAGACAACAAAACAGATTGCTGGACAGATATGATAAATTACAGCAAGGTAAAAATAAAAAGAAGAAAAAAAGAAGAAAAAAAACCCAACAAACAACCAAACAAACCACAAAACCCCACAGTTTTGGTTATTTAAAAATAATTGTAATCCTAACTTCTCTTTCCATCTGGGTCCTAACTGGAAAGGGAGACAATATCAGAGTTAGTCACTGTCTACTCAGCACTTCACCCAGGAAGTCTGATCTAAGGGAGAACCGGCGTGCGTACATCTGAGGACAACAGTGAGGAAAAAACAGCTCCTGCACTAGATACAAACCCCTGGAATCTGCACACTTGCACAATTTGCTCTGGTTTGCAACTCTGACTCTTTTAAGGGAAGTGTCTGTCTGCATATCCATGGTACATGATGAAACTCAGCAACAAAGGCAGGCCACAAGAAAGCGTGTTTGAGCTCATACATATTTTACACCTGGCTGTAAATGCAAGGTAAACATACAACATCTTAATTTTACTACACTGAGGCCCTGAATAGCTGCTTAAATCTGAATATCTTCATGACAGCACAAGTGCCCCTTCCCGGGCAAGAGCCCACATTGTTAGAAAGCAATAACACTCAATCCCCAATGTGACAACAGAGATAGAAACAAAAGCAGGTAATTAACTGTGACCAAGGGTTAGAGACGCCAAGACACCATCTGGTCCCTTCTGATGTGAAAAACGCTCCTGTCAGGAGGTGCCAAGCACGTTCTGTGTTTTTCTGAGCTCCCAAGGGTACCAATGGCATCATGCAGGAAATGCTCCTTTTCTCTCAGCCTCAGATCCAACATGTTAGTGAAGAATAATACAGAAAAAAGGCAACTCACACCCATTTCTCACACCCTCTGTACTCCCAGAGGTCCAACACAGCAGACAGATGTGCTAATTTCTCTGTAAAACTAGCGAGGAAAAGAACGATACTGAAAAGCAGATGGCCACCATCCTCCACGTTCTTCATGAATCAAAAAGTTCCCTTTGCTCACACTGACTTGCTTTCTAAAGACAAACTGCCAGTTTTCCTCCCTTCCAAGTACCTCTTTATCTTTCTGATGTGCTGTTTTGTACTATTTCCTGCACAGTACTCCAACCAGCCAAAGTAGATGCCTCTACCAAGAGGGCAGAGAGAGGCACATATTAGTTAAATAACGTTAAATGATAGAGGAACCACGTTAAAACAGTGTTGAAAATTACTCTGGAACACAGTCTTGAATTTATGCCTAAAAATTTTGGGATTTCTCGACAATGAAATCTACACAAGCCAGAAGCAATATTTAAAAATACCATTTCATTCCAAAACAACATTTTTTATATACACAAAGGCACCAGACAAATACTGCTATAAGAGTTCTCTACAAGAAAAAGAACATTTACATTTAGGAAAGTAGAATTGGGAAGTTAAAATCACTGGTCATACTTCCAGTTCTGGCTGTTGTCATTCCCAGTTCCAGCTTGATCTGTAGATGCCATAACTCATGAAACGTGCACGCTCCCTAAGCGCTTCGCGGGGTATTTTTTACCACAGCACTAGACTGGTTTCACAGTTTGGCAGAGAGTGAGGCCCTTCAATCTTTGTGCCTCCTTGAGATTAGCAACACAAGCAGAATCAAAATGTGCTGGATTGCAAAAACCACCCCTGCACCACCCTGAAATCACCAAGGCAATGATCACACTGGGGTGTCGTCTTCTCTCCCAACATTTCCAAATGAGATGGACACACGTTGCTGACCACAGCTTGCAGTGTTTAGATGCAAAGGTATCTCTTGAGCCACACAAACTAAAGGGAG